CCATGCGTTAGAATTGAGATCCATATATTGTGTCCATACAGGAGAAGGTGCATGAAATGCTTATTCGCAAGTAGTCATAAATGATGATTTAAGTCACATGAAGTGCTTACTTGAGACTGAAACCTACTAAAGTGCAAGTACCATTTGCAAGTTAAAAATAGCTATCTACCAATAGTAGGGTATTATTATCATGGTACCAAGTAACATTTATTTGCTCGTACCAATCAAATCGAAATCACCAGTAAAATCAGTACATTTACTTGCATTTCCACATACCATCATTACTCTTCATAAAAAATCTTACCAAAAACATTTTTTCTTCCCCTAACAATTTATCTCTCTCACTTAGATTTTGCTGTTGTGGGACCAATAAATTGAATCTGAGTTTTAAGGGGCGACTGTTTCCTAACCACAATAAACCTAGAAAAATTTAATTGCCCACACAGCAAATCGTTTATTTTCGTCGGAAGTCCAGAGATGATAGAATTAGCACACAATCACAATGAGGAGAGTGATGCAAAAGCATGGTTGCTCGATTATTTCACCTCCGCACATGAAAAATCTTAACTCACAAGAAGAGGTTCAAATTAGTGCGAATATCATAAATACATGAGGCGATAGTAGAACGGCACCAAGAACCTAGTGCTTTAATATAGACTATGCTTGTTAGGGTGAAAAATAAAATAATATAACATTAATTATGAGAAAGATAAAAAATAAGAGGATATTGTTAACCACTTATGGTGTTTAATGAGGATATTATTAATTACTTGTGATATTTGATTGATTAATAAAGAAAAACAAAAAAATGGAAAATTTTTAATTAGTTTACTATCATACAATTTTTCATAAATTTGTCTTTTAAAAAAATAAGGATAAATTTGGTATTAATAATGTTTCATTAAAAATGTTAGCATTTATTTTCCTTTACTTCAAATTCTTTATTTCTTTAAAGGATAACAGAATTAACACATTATGCCTAATTTGTTTCCTTTCATTTAATAATCTATATCAAATATGATATTTCATTTTCCTTTACCTTTTTGGTATTTTATGTGATAACCTCTGTGGGCTGTGGACGGGTGTGAGGGGTGATGATTGTGAACCCATCAGATTTTCAAAATTAAGCATATTTACTCTAAAGTAATACTAGGATGGATGACTTACTGAAATTTTTTTGATTCAGAGAGTCAAAAATAAATAATATTGTATCGGACCGTGCTTATTCTGAAATAATACCAAAATGAATAACTTGAAAAGCCTCTGAAAAATATCCAATTCAAAATAGTCAAAAACAAATAATATTACATACGTGTTCTATCTTTATATTTGTCACCAGTTACAAAAACTGGTGGACATTTTTTTATCATTTTTGGTTGGCAAAATACATCAGAATTTCACCAAGAATTAATTACTCAATACTTAGGTAAACATTTAAGATCCACATCACCATGCCATTTACTACATATTAGTGTCTGCCAGACCACATAACCTTTAAATGGCCTATTAAATGTTTGTTAAGGCGTAGATTTTGTTGTACAAATCTGATCTCGGCATACATTCTTACACGACACAAAATCCTTGGATCAAATAGGTTTATAGGGATACAAAATTTAAAGAGACTGTGTGTAATATAGTTGGATCGAATAGGTTTACAACTGTGCGTAATATATGTTTTATTAACTCATTAAAAACTTCTCATTTATTGTTTACTGTCATTGGTCCCACCTTGTCTACCAAAACACACCTACTCATATCTGGTTCCCATGTAAGTTTGTAACTATGCTATTTGAATTTCTAATAGTATTTTCTTTTTAATTTTATTATTATTATTATTATTATTTTGATCGCACATTCATACCTTGCCTCAAAAAAACGTTCTTATTTATATATATATATAGATATATTGTCAAAGGCAAAGAACAAGCTTTATTAGTAAACTTCAATCAGAAAATAAGTCCATTGGAGAGCACAATTATCTTTGAAATGTGACAATTTCACATCAATTTGTACCAATTGGCAATTCGAGGAAAACTTATTTCTCAGTGCTGGAGGTTGGTGGCTAGAAGTAATATTGATGGACTATATGCATGACTAATAGCCTTTAAAAATTATAGAGTAATGATAGGAAAATCGAAAATGAATCAACGCATTAATATCGAATTTAACGTGGTTGGTCATTCTCATTATGTGTTGAACAATTATTTTTAGAAACTGTTTAAGTAGGTGGACAAAAACACGTCAAAATTAATTCATCGGTCTCCCTATCATTATTCAAAATATCACTAAATTAATATACACTAAATAGAAAAAATTGATTCTTTCCCCATTTTCCCCCATCCCAAACAAATATTTTCTAACCATGGAAGAGTATAATAATCAAATTATGCAATATCATCTGCATTCCTTCCTAAATTTTTTCTTTCTCAATCAAATAATGCTGAGTAAATATAATTTTTCTTTGAAAGCCCTCTTTATTCCCTCCTACATTCTTCTTTCCATTTAAAGTAAAAAGATGGAATGTCTATTCTAACTATTTATTTGTTTGGTATACAATTTAAGGTAGAAATGATCATTTCTGGAAAGAAAATTCATTCTAAGACTAAACTTATAGAATATAGCCATTCCATTCCTAAGTAATTTTTTTTTGTGTTAAAAAAATCAAATTTTTGAAAAACCCCTCATGTTTCAAGTCCAAAAACATCCACCACCGTTGCCCGCTATCATCTTTGCCACCTCCATTGCCTTCCACCACAATTGTTGCTGCCGCATTTGTCTTCCACCACTGTCATTACCACTACCATAATTGTTGTCGCATTCAACCACCACACCGGTACCGCCTCCACTACCTTCCACCATTGTCACCTTCATCATTGCCACCATTACCACATTTGACCATCGCCAACACCATTGCCTTTCCACCATAGTCGCGTTACCACCACTATTGCCCGCGCTGCCATCACCTACACCACTACCACCACCATCACCATCCATCATTGCCATTGCCTTTCACCACCACCGTCCATTGCCACCTCAACTACCTTGTAATAGTGATATTTGTGCCAAAGAGATAAGAAAGTGGAGGGTCCTTCTTACACCAATTTAAAAGTATTTGGTTATTAGTAATATACTACTCCTCTATACAAAATAAAAAAATAATAAAAAAAAAATTATCTACATTTTTATTTTTGAGTGTTCCAAAATAAATATCTCAATTGAAAAGTCAATCTTCCAAATTTTTGTATAAAATTACCAATTTAACCTTCTTGGGAACTTATAAAAAAATAAATTCTCAACAAAATACATTTTTTCTTTTTCTTTTTTAAATTTCTCCAAAAAATATATATTTTTTGGGTCTTAGTAATATGGAACAAATTAAAATGGAATATACAAAATAATTAATAAATACTAAGTTGAAAAAAAAATAATTAAATACTAAGAATCTACCAAAAATTTTTTTTTTCATTTAGGCTCTGTTTGTTTCGACGTAAAATATTCTTTTTGAAAAAATATTTTTTTTTTCAGATAAAATTTTTTATTTTTAATTTATCGGTATTTGGTAAAGATCTACGTCAGGTCGAGTCCATCCAGCGGGACATTTTAAATAACTTGTTGAAAATTGATGAATAAGTTATTTTTGTTAAATTTTAATATTTTTTTTCTTTATAAATATTTTACGACAATTAAACAATAATAAATAAAAAATTATTTTCTTAAAAAATATTTTAGAAGCCCGCAAAGTAAACATCTGTAACATATTTTAGAATAAATATTCTGGGGCCGTGATTTACTCTAAAAACAACACTTAAAAAAGAAGCATCCAAAGTAAGAGGAAATTACTAGTTGTTCAAATTCCCATACAAAGAAAAAAAATTCTAATTGAGGGTAAACTCGGGGAGCAAGAGTTTTGAGTGGCAATATTGCGAATATGAAGAACTATGGCCCCTAATTTTGATAAGAAACAGAAACGGCGCGACACTACGTTGCCGTCTCGCGGCAATACTCTGCCGTTTCAATCAGAATCAGTAACGTAAGGAATTCAATTCCCACGTTTCTTCTGTGCGCGTGAATTAATCTAACCATCCAACAAACTAAAATCCTATGTTATGTGCGCCCAAAAACAATTAAAAAAACAAAATTTAGACAAATTTTTGTTTTAAAAAAATTATTTTATACTGATTTATTATATATAAAATTTGATAGTCACATCCATTTGACTAATATTAAGTTTTTCTTATTTTTTATTCACATTCTTGACATGAATCACCCATCTTGCACTGAGGAGGTAAAAAAAGCAACCACATCATCATCTAGCATGACATATGTAGCATAATTTTGTGTAATTCTTTTTTTTTTTTAAATTTTTAATTAAAGGTAATGTGTCATAACAAGATTGTACTTGCATACGGTGATGCAAGAAAACTGATAATAATCTTGATTAATTTAAAAAATATTTTTTATTTATCTAAGATTTGACAAAATAACAAAGAAAAAAAAAAACGTAGCATTACTAATTTGAAATTAAATTTGCTTTACTCTCCCAATTTTGAAGGTCGAGTGCATTTCACGCGTGTGAAGTAAGCGTGATCTTAGTGACTGACACCTAAAGAATCCTACTGGCAGCCTATGCATGATATGCATGACTTGAGATGGTATGGTCATGCGTCATGAATGTGGATGATCCTTAGCCCATGCCAGCTAATAAGACTTACCACATATATATACACATTCACTGCCAAATATATTATTCATATATATATACATATGCACACACACATTCACTGCCAATACATTATTTATATATATATTATATATATACCGGCCCTTTAATACATTTTTGACCGCTTGGAAAAAGGTGAACGGCGAGAGTGAGAAACCAAATACTAGCAGAGACTGAGACGTGAAAGTCTAGAGAGAGAGAAAAATAAAACAGATTATCAGTGGTGGGTGGGTGAAGAGAGAGAGAAGAGACAAACCAACGAGGTATATTTATTAGTATCAATTTCTTTATGGTTTTAGATTTTCGATGATATATGGTTTCTTTTCCCTTATTTTCTCTCTGATATGTTCCATTGAGATTTGCGTATTTCAATCCCTGTTGGGTCTCTGTCTCTCTCTCTCTCTCTCTATATACCCTAGTGTAGTAGTAGAAGTAGACTCTGTTTTACAGTTGTCTAGAAAATCGGTAATTCTAGAGAGAGAAAGAGAGATCGTAGCAGTAGATTCCTAACCCTCTTTGTTTCGTTCACACCGAACGAAGGGTTTTTGCTATATATCTGATACAATTTTCTCCCTTTTTTTCCCTTTCTTTCTCTGGTTTAAGAACAAAAGCTAGGGTTTTGTGAAAGGCGGTTGTGGGGAGGAGATTTATGTCGGCAGGGTCTGAATTGGTGGTGATTGGAGCTCCGTTGAAGCTCTGTTTTTCTTTGGATTCTGTGTTCATCACTCTCTGTATGCGACAACTCTGCTGTCTCCACCAGCAGAGCACCAGCCTGTGTTTCCCAACTGTTTCGATGCGTTTGAGGCCCAAAAGGTAACAAATATTTCCTAAACCCTGGTTTATTTTCTTACCTGCAATTTTTGTAGTTTCTATATATGTATTTGATGGTTTTAGGGCATGATCTGAGATGGGTATGTGGTTTTTATTGGGTTTTCTCCCTTGCAGGACTTGTTCTGGAGTAGAGTGTTTTGGGGGTTTTCACATAAAGCGAGATCCTCTCACTTGATACAACCCAGAGATTTCTGTTTTTGTTTTCCTTGTTTTTCCTTCTTTTTTCTTTCCTTCCAAACACAATTTTGTGGGTAACTTGAAGGGGCTTGGTGAGATTTAGATTTTTTGCGGTATGTCCGAGCCTCAGAAACTATTCAATCGAGACGGTCTGTGCAAAAAAATGAAGAAAAGATCATCCTCTGCTGAAGAAAGCAGGAGAACCATGAGGAAAATTCGTGTGATTTGTCACGATCCCGACATGACTGATTCGTCGGACGATGAGAGAACTGTGAAGCGCAAGCGCATCGTCACTGAGATCAATCTTACGATTGATAGTGACTCGACAGCTGTCAATCTTTCGATTGGTGGTGGCCCGAAAGCTGAGATGGAGAGTTCGTGCGAAGATAGCAACAGTGGAGGCAAAAACCCCAGAAAGGATGGGGTTTTGAGCAAAACCCTGAATCGGCAGAGGACCCCTTCGAAATACAGGGGTGTTCGACAGCGAAAGTGGGGTAAATGGGCGGCGGAAATTCGAGACCCCTTCATGGGAAAGAGGGTCTGGTTGGGGACTTTCCAGACTGCTGAAGACGCCGCGAGGGCTTACGACATGAAGAAGCTCGAATTCGAGGCGACACTGGCCTCTGCCTCTGCATTTGAGAAGACCTTCAAGCAGACTTCTTCAAAGGCAATCTCTCAGTCTCGAAAGCCCTCTGTTTCTGAGGACTCTGATAGCGTTTTGTCTCACACTTCACCGTCGTCGGTCCTTGAGTTGGAATCCTCGGCTTCGGCTACGGCCTCAGACAACAACAATGGAAAATTCAATGATTCAATGCAAAATCTTGGCATTGTCAACAATGTCACCGATTCTCAAGTGCCTGATTCGGTTCCTGTGGATCAGCCATCGATCTGCCCCCAAGTGTTTGATGCAGTTCCTGTGGATGAGCCATTGATGTGCCCCCAAGTGTTTGATGCAGTTCCTGTGGATGAGCCATTGATGTGTTGTCAAGGCGGGCAAGGATTGGTTTCTGTTGATGAGCCATTGATGTGTTCTCAAGGTGGGCAAATAATGTACTCAGAATTCGATTGGATGTTTGACGATGATGAAATTGCGAAGCTTTGCGTAGATGAAAACTTCTTCGACTTCGAAAACCTCAAACTTCCAGAAGACTTAAGTTTTGAACTTCCCGACATAAGTTTTGAACTTGCAGAAGAATTCGATCTTCCACCAGAGTGTGAGGGTGGTGTGCTTGCTGCTCATAAACCTCTCAACATAGCTTGCCCCTGAGTTTTGCAGCTACTAGGAATTAGTATAGTAGTATCCTATATTAAATAGTGTTTTATATAGACGGTGAAATCACAAGAACTGTGAGATATGTTCTTGAGGAAGAGAAGTGGTTTTGTTTGAGTGAGTTTATTTGTTCGTTTGTCGAGATCTGTTAGAGAGAGGAGCTATTATCCATGTAATGTTTCGGGGAGAGAAAAAACAGTCCTCAGGGTTTTCTTGTGCTTTTGGAGCCGTCCGAGGACTTCAGTCAGGCTTTGTTGAGTTTTTCTCATCTCTGGTTAAATCTCTCTTTTTTGTCCATGAAATTTCTCTGATTTGGCTATGGAATTAAGTTTATTATCTTGATGCTTACAACATCTGTGCCTCTATATTAATTCCCTTCAATATCTTATGTATATGCTTTTATCACACATGGAAAGAGTAGGAGAAGTATAGAAGTGTAAAAGTGACCAAATCTTAAGTAAATGTAAGTTACAAAATTCAAGTGGCAGGTGTGGATGGCGGCACCGTTGAGAAGAATTTCACGACTTAGGTCTCATGTTACCTACTTAATATGAACTTAACCTAATTAATATAAACTTAGATCGAGTGAGCTCCTCAATCTTAAGGTCTTTTCATTTGTGATTTTATGGTTGGTAACTTGATTTTGAGGCCTTGAATTTTGAGTGATTTGTATTTTGTTTGGTTGCTACACATTCTATGAACCTGTGATGTTGTGCAAATTGAAATTTAGGCTGCTCACACTTCATTGCTGACTAGTACTAGTAGTGTAGCAAATTTTCTTCTATTTTTGTGAAGCACGAGCAGTGGATGGGGCAGGTTGTGGGCCATATGTTATTGTGTGTTCTATTTTTTAATGTTTGCTTTGCCAAGCAAAGCATATCTGCAACTTGAGGTCGTTACAGGATTGGGTTATCTGTTTGGAGGAGTCATTTTTAAGCTAGGGTTTGATGACCATGCCACTTGGTGGTCATTACAATTAGTGAGAGACTTAGGGGGGACCTAAGTAGGTATGTTGGTGACAGTTTTAATATGATTGTTGATTAGTTTATGGTTTTGAGCTATGGCATGCGCATTCATTATTGATGGATGAGAAAATGCAGTTTATGTTCCTAGTTGATGCAGTGGATGATGACTTAATGCCAATGCATTGCATACATCTCTCTTTCACTAGTGAAGATTTTTGTGTCGAGGGAGCACCACACCCAACATTTTGTTCAGTGGAAAGTCTGAAAAGGCCGACTCCACGACACCGCGTCTCTGCGACTCTCTAACATATGTGGTTGGTCCCATTCGAACACTTTGTGGTCTTGTGAGACCCACTACTAATGTGAGAGAGCGCACATAAACATTTGTTCAATGGAAAAGTCTAAGGTAGACTCCATGCTCGTTTTTTTTTTTTTTTTTTTTTTAATTTCCTAGGAATTATTTTTACCTTAGGGACTTGATGTTTCATGAGCTATTTGGTAAGGGTGATAATATTTGACACGATACGAGATAAGAGGATTTGAATTTTGATTAATCGTGTTCGTATTGTAATCACGTCGACACGAATTGACCCGTTAACTAAACGTGTCGTATTCGAATTTGACGTTATATACACGATTATCACAAGAATAATATGATTAACTAAACGTGTTGTATTCGTGTAAGAAATGACTCATTTAGGTAAACGTGTAAGAAATGACTCATTTAAGTAATCATTTATTGTAATCGCGTCAACACGAATTGACCCGTTAACTAAACGTGTCGTGTTCGAATTTGACGTTATATACACGATTATCACACGAATAATATGATTAACTAAACGTGTTGTGTTCGTGTAAAAAATGACTCATTTAGGTAAACGTGTAAAATAAAAGCGTCGTGTCGTGTTATGCATGTAATAATCATGTTTGTGTCGTAATTGTGTCGACACAATTACGACACGCCAACATGAATTGCCACCCTTACTATTAAGGTCTAAGTTTTTTACAACTGGGCCAATACTTTGGGATTAACTCTAAACTTATGTTAGACAGTTTTTTTGAATAGGCGTTACTCTTATGCTCCGCGTGCTCTGTCTCTTTCACATCCACACTCTATGCGACTTAAATTTTTTCGCTTTTGCACTCCTACTCTTACTTTATGTGACTTAACTTCAAATACCGTGATTCGGATTCTCTCACATTTGTGGTGGAGTCCATTATGACAGACCGCGATTTTGACTCTCTCATGTGTGGTGGGGTTCATTCTAACAAACAGGTGTCGTGAGAGAGTCATAATTCAATATCGGACTTAAAGTCTTTGTTTGAATTCAATTTTAGGAGTTTGAAAATTCTCTCTTGTTATTGGGATTCAAGGAAAAGTTCGAGAAAATTTACCTCGTAGACACATTTATAATGAAAATAAATGTCTGGAACCATTCTTAAAAATTCCAAGTTTTGAAATGGTGGACATGGTCTGAAGGTAAACATTTGTGTAGCGAAATAAAATCAGTTTTAACAAAAAAAATAAAAATGCATTATAATGAATTATTCTCAATATTGCTCTAGGTGTTAAAACCAAGAAAATTAAACCACTAGAAAGAAGTTATATACACACAAACGGATTTATTCATAAAGCTCTTTCGAAGCACTAGTATTATTAAACTTTATTGACCAAAACCTAAGCGCTTTAACAATAAAAGTTGTCCCTTGTAAAAAATTAAGAGGTTTTGTAACTTACATTACAATTTATTTATTTATTTATATCTGTTTTACTTAATTTCAACAATTAAATAATTAGACATAACTGCACCAATCCAACTCGATATATATCGGTATTAACTTTATTCAAATCAAGAGTAGACTTTGAATGGAGTCTAATTTGGGTCAAATTGATCCATTTCATACCTTCTTAATCCAAATCATTAGTTCTCGAATTAAAATATTTCACTAAAAAAAATTTAAATAAATAAAATTTCAACTTTACACGTCCAAGTAAAAAAGACAATGATAACTTTGTTGTTACCCAAGTACTATTGGTTTAATTACAAGGCATAAGTAGAAAATAGAGGGTGAATTAGCAAAAAGAAGATGAGTGAAATAAGCACGTGAAAATGAGACAATGGGTCCCAATAAATCATAATTGAGAAGCTATAATTATATGGATTTAGGGACCATGTCCAAGTCGGATGTTTCCTAAAGAGAAAATGATGCATGGTCGGCCTCCAACGTCCCACCAAACCAATAGGGGTCCTAATCATATCCGGCTAATCAATGCCTTAATCTAAGGCTGACTTTCATTTCATTGGCCTCAACATCTTTTTCAATCATATTATATTTGAAAATTCAAACCACTTTATTTAAGCGCAAGCTGATATTGTAAATATTCTTTATGAATATATATATGATGTTCAATCCGTTATCACACTATGGTGGTGTTGGCTGACTAGTAAAATGGGCAGGTCTTAAGTGTTCCACTCCATACTCGTAAGTTTGAATTTTATTTCCTTATTCTCTATTGTTACAAGGAAAAACTTGTTTCGAATCGAATTTGAATAAAAAAAATGAATTAGTATAAATAAAAATTTTATACCACTTTATTTAAGAGCATGGTGACGTTGCGAATGTCCAATATGAATGAATATGTTATGATAGTCTATACTCCTATGTTCGAATTTCATTTTCTTATTCATGAAGTTTGACTCAATCTGGATAAAAAAATGAATAGGTTTGTAACACAATTCAATAATTTAAGTTTTTGTGTAAATGGACAAGCGCTTATCCGTTACAATTGGTATCAAAGTTAGATCCAGTCCTTAGTCTGGTGTCACGCCCGGCGTTGCGAGTTCAGGTTGGGAGATCTTATCTTACATCTGATTTGGGCCAATAACTTAAATTTTTGAGTAAATTGGGCAAGTGCCTACCCATTACACCTACTAACTACTAAATCTCTAACCATTGTGAAGTAAAAAAAAAAAAAAAAAAACCGTTATGAAATCCCTAGGTTTGGGACCCAAAGTAGCACCACCACTTTTTTCTTTTTCTTTTTAAAAATAATAACAAGAGAGGGAAAAATGAATAACGCGAGTAACTATCATTTTACAGTCCTCTTGATCTGAATATAAATATTTGATTTTAAATCGATCAAAATAAAATTAGATTTAAATTGAATCTAATTTCTCTATAGTATTACAATTTATCTATACTTACGAGAGTTAGCCGGTCGAAAGTTCGAATCTATTTGGGGTCACTCTTAGGAAAATTTTCAGGTGCATGTGAATGGGGGTATTGAATGTGACCGGTGATGAATTACAGACGACTTTAAGAGGAATGAAACCACCATTATCGACAAAAACTCAAGAATGCTCTCAAGTTGAATTCAACCTAAAAATTGAACACAAGCTCATGGTTAAGATTAGTTGAGAAGAAAGGTTAATAAAGCATAAATCATAAGAGTATAAAATGACTCTGTAAGCTGGGATAATGAGTGAACAGCTTTTTAAAAGAAGTTAAAGAAAACAACTTTTTACTGTATTATACCCCCAAAAAAACAGTGTTGGTTTCTTTTAAACATTGCAAATATGGCTAGAGATCCTAAACAACAAAAAGAAAAAGAAAAGGCTATATTGCTCAGAAGTTATTTTAAAGATTGAGCCATTTGGTTAGGGGTTGTTTGGAAATTCAAAAGAGTTTCAGATGTACTTTTGAAGCAGATAATTATTCAAATTCACACCTTCATATATTATATTCCCATAGGAAAACATTTTTCCTTTTTTTTTTTTTGGCATAAATAATTTATGTGGCTAATTTTATTTGATTGGAATCAACTATACACATACATATGCATACTATATATGTATGTGTGCAAATATATGTACATGCCTCATAGAGTGTTATATGTATATACACACATACATACATAGTATATATATTGGGTTGTTGGACACTAGGTGGGTCATGAGAGTTTTCTAGGATGCTTGAAAATGAGGAGAGGAGAGACATGTTCAACATATGCTAGCCTGTAATCCAATAAAGCAAAGAGAGTGATTGGTCCTTTGTGTTGGTTTACTTGAATTGTTCTAGAAAAGACTTTTCAATCCGTGTTTAAAGTTTTAAAATTGTTAATCTTGTCTCATGTAAAGAAAATTTGCATAAGAAAACAGTGGTCAAACAGTAAGTCAAAATAAAAGTATATTATCCAAAACATGCAAGTAATCAGACAAGGATTAGTGTGTGTGTGTGTGTGTGTGTGTGTCTATAACAATGGTGGAATCTATTAGTGATAGATTCCTGTAGGAGATGGTGTTTAGGACAAGGCAGGACCACAAAGACTACTTATTCCTTTGACAGGATATTCATCTTTGGATAATCCAATTTTTGATAATAAATATGACAAAAATATCTATCACACTGCATAATTAAATTGTTAGCATTACATTAAAAGAATGTGAAAGATTATGGATCAATTTTTATGACTATCATTCAAAAAAGAAAGTGAAAAAGTGCTTAGTTGTCCAAAATTCAAAATTAAAATAGTATTAATGAGATTTGAGGGTAATATATATATATATATATATATATATATATATATATATATATATATATTTATCTGTAGTTGAGCCTTAAACTTAATGCTTCCTTAGAAATTAGAGTCAAATTCTCATCTACTTGAGCATATGGAGGTTCCAAAACTTCTCCAAATGAAGCTTGGGTGACATTTAGTCATAAGGTATATTTTGCTTGACGACTTTTGAGTTTTGTAAAGATTAATGTGGATGTTGAAGCGATGTCATGAGGTCGATGGTGCAACTTCTACGGAGGCCATCTGTCTTCGTAAGGCAGTTTTATGGGCAATGAGTTATCCATTTAATAAGGTATGATTTGAATGTGATTCTTTGATTGTTGTTAAGGATCATGCGCCAGTTGAAATTTAAGTTCTATCTTTGATATTCAAGTGGCGCTTCGGCACTTTCATCCTCATGTCTTAGCCATGTCCATCGGAATGGTAACGAAGTTGCACATGCTATTGTGAAGCTCTCTAAAAATCATGTAACTATCGATACTGCTCTTGCCCATATTCCTGTTGATATTCTTGTTCTGGCTGCCACGGATTGTTTGTTTTAATCCGTGCTTTGTTTGTGTTTGCAAGGTTTAAAAAAAAAAAAACTCCTATTTCAGCTTGAAACAATATGTATAAATTAGGCTGCTTGTAGTTCGATGAAAAAAAAAAAGAAAAAAAAAGAGAAGGAAATGGAAATGGAAATTTTTGATCACTTTAGCATTTTAGTTAGCAGCAAAAAGGAAAATTACTTTTACATAAACACCTAAAAAAAATGATTTCCTATGAAAGTTTATATTCTGTTTGATAGGAAGGATGAACGAACATAAGATATGAATGAGACATCTCAAAAAAGAGATTGTGTTTTTTTCTCCTTCTATTTGATTGAATGAAAGGAAAAATAATGAAATAATAATAAGTTTTACTCTATTCAAACACTTTTTTTTTATTTTGGGAAGAACCCGGGTCCCGGGCTCTAGCAAACTCACGTACCCACTAATGCACACATTTTGCTTACCTTCCTCTTACCATTAGATTACTTTGGTCTTATTCAAAATATAAAATGATAATTTTTAAAATTTTTTTTAAATATATATATATTTTTAATGTTAATTAAATACATAACAAAAAAAATTCATTTTTTTCCATTGAATTCATTTTCTGTTTTCTTTCATTTTTCACTGTTGTCTGTCCCTCAACTCTTTTTCTTCTATTTTCCCTCTTCCATGAACAACACTGACTCTCGAACATGGTAACAGAGCAAGTCTGGTCCATTGAAATCTTTTGCTGTTTGCTTTTCTTCTCATATTTTGAAAATGTGGGTTCGTGCTATTAAACGGCTTTTTGTTGATTACTCTCAAACCCAAATGAGTACAAGTGTTGAAATCACCGTCATTGTCTTCTCCACAAGCTTCTCCATTTCTTCTTAATTGCATGCCTCACCAACTGGTTCTGATCTTCAGTTTGAATCTCCTTATTACGACTTTCAAATTGCATTGACAGAAGGTAGTACTCATTTTCTACTTCCTTCTCTCTTTTATCTATACATGTTTGTTCTTTTGTGCCCTTTTTGTTATTTGTTGTGCTTATATTCAATCATAGGATATTAATTTAATTATGCTATTAAGAGTCATTTTGATGACACTATTGACTATTGAGAGGTTGCTAAGGGGTTTACTTTTAGACATTTTGGATACACTACTTCGAAATCTTTGTTCCGATGGCTGTTTGTAATTTCAATTTGTGTGTTATTATCAGTTGTAACTGTGCAGGGTGGTCCTCTTATTAGCTTGATGTCAAAAATGCCTTTTGACCTTGCCGTCTACAAGGTGTTTATCGAATTACCTCTAAAGAATGTTGCTTAGGGTCTCACATAATTTATATAGGCTAGACAACTATGGGTTTAAACAGTCTTTTAGAGCTTGTTTTGGTACATTTTCGTTTAATCATGACTAAATGTGGGTTGCAATGCACTCTGATTATTTGGTGTTGTATTGAAAAAGTCTCAATGGAACTGCGATTCTTGTCGTGTTTGTTGATGTTGTTGTTGTTAAGGTGATATAGCGAGTACCAACGATTTTAACTTCACTTGAGTAAGCATTTTCATGTAAAAGACTTTAGTGAGTTGAGGTGGTTTTTGAGCATCCAAGTTACTAAATCTGAGCAGGGTTCTCAGTTTAACATTGAAAATGTTTTGCTGACCTTTTGTGAAAAATCCGACATGATATCATCGGAAGTAGTGTGCCTCATGACTCACATGTGTGGTAGAAGGGATCTTTGGTATGAGTTCTTGGTTGCTTTGTGGCCAAACAAGATTGTTCTAGCTAGAATAAAGAAAGGAATCTGTAGTTGCTTCTTTTGATCAGGTAGGTCTTTGTGATGCTGAATTTCTGACTTGTGAGACCAAAACTTGCAGTAAAACAAATCTGTAAAGTGATTCTTAATCAGTAACGGATATTATTAGTCTATTAGAAAACTTTCTCAGATTCTAAAGCTTTTCATAGCAGTGCAAGATTTGTTCATCCAAATGTTTGTGTTAAACCGGGACATAATAGTTCTCTTAAAAATAGAACAAGTCTGACTATCTGAAAGAGCTTGCGGAAAACATTATGAACTCATAGAAATCCCTTGTCCTGGAAACTTTTGATGCAGTCATCAAACATTTGATTCAGTGTTTTTAAAGCTGGGAGCCCTAATTGAATAATTTTATTGCTGTCCATGCTATGTGGGTTATTATCCCCTTTCTTGCTGCTACACCTGCACGGGGTAAGAAAACATTTACAAATATTGAATATTAAGGAGAAACAAATTCTGGGTTTGTTTTACGTTTAGATGCAATTTGATCATGAAATTGACAGTATTTATCTAATGCTTGTGACATGTTAGAGCAAAATTTTGAAGGCAAAAGAACAAAAATACCATGCTGTGTCACTTACTTGTCTTCGAATGGGTAGGATGGATATTTGGCCCTTAGCATCTCAATGATCTCTGACCAATGAGCCACTGAGCTTGAACATATAAGTCTTCCTGATGCTTTACTTTCCTCCATCGCCAACATATGTGCACCGACGACATCATCTATGTGCACAAACCCCACCGTTGTGTTTGGGTATACTCCATTCACACCTGAAAATTAGTTACCGGTCTAGTAAATTAGTTTGGCAACATTAAGACTAAATTCATGTTGGTTACCTCTTGCATCCAATTATTATATGTTGGTTCTGTTTTTATACGCAGAGGGGACTCTTGCCATACAATGAAGAAAGCATTATACATCTTTTTATATCATTTAATGACTAGAATCTCCCTTAGATGGTGGTGTGTCATGTTTGATTGCAGGAGTTTGTTAAATGCGGGGACATGGTGAGTATCCTAATGCATCTTAGATTGCTATGTTAGTCTATTGGAAATCACATAACAGGTGATGCAGATATAACCTTTAACGATGTTCAGTATCACGAGCAGAGTACTGGTTGGTTCTGGTGCAAGTAATGGACCAACTACAAATGAGGGATTCACCACCACCAGGTCCATCCCATTTTCCTCTGCTACTCTCCATGCCTCTTTCTCTGCTGTAGTTTTTGCATATGCATACCACAGCTGCGTGCAATCAATTCCACTCAGGCCAATTAAGCGACTAACAAGTTAAAGTTGAGAGTACTACATATAAACATGAGATCTTTGTTATTTTATTTATTATTTATTTTCCGTTTTAACAGTTTAATGCTTCTATGAGCGTGTGTAATGATGCCTTTGGAAATGTAAAATAGATGAAAGTGTTGTTACATTGTAGCGTTTGCAATACTCCAGATCGCTCCAGTGAGATTCGTTGAGAGGAGAAACTTGTTGGGCATCGTCACGGTATCTTATCGAAGAGCATGAAGAGGTGAGCACAACCCGTTTCACACTACTTACTTTTGTGCAAGATCTCATCACATTCAAGGTGCCCTTTATACATGGATCAATTAGAGTTGCCTGCAATATTAGCAAAGTTATTAATCTAATTTTGCCCCTACAATAGTGGGGGTGTGTTTGTGAGTTGGGTGTGTGTATAACTTACCTACCAATAAATAAATAAATCTAATTTTACATGCTTTGAAAAATTTTACTTTCACAAAGACCAACAAATCATTCTTTTTAACCCTTAGTTCTATTCTTCTTTTTGTCCAAGTATACTTGACATAGACAGCATTAGAGGGAGCCTAATCTAATCAAGCTCTACTTCTTTGACCATTTTAAAAATAGGTCATCAATATGGATGAATGGAAACAGCTGGTAAGATATATTTAGGGAAGGCATTCAGGTTGGTAATATGTATTGGGCAATTAACTGGTTAATTGATCAATAATAACATTGTTGGTGTTAATCATTTATGTAAAAGGTTATAAAGTAACTTTGCCTGAATGTTGTTGTCATTTGGAACGAGCACTGGAGAGGCCGTATGGAAGACTCCATCAACTCCCTGTATGGCCAGGTCAAAGCTTCCTTCCTCCATGAGATCAGCTTTCATAACCTTTAGTCTCTCCTTGGCTCCACTCAGCTCCCAAAGGAACGCTACCTTTTCTACATTTTCTGAACAAAAGAAACAAAAGGTATGTGACTTGAAATTATTGAGTTACAGTAATTTTAACTGAAACAGAATCTGGGTGTCATTGATAGACCACAACAATGGTCTCTCTCTCTCTCTCTCTCTCTACACACACACATATGCATATGCTGCTACTTTGGGAAACCCTTTTTATTTCAAAATAGAAAAGGATCCCCATTTCTCTTTTATGTGAAAAAAAGGAATTGATGTAAATGAACAGAAAAGAAAAGAAAAATTATTGATATTAAAGAAATAAATAATTGAAAGTAGAGTTAGTTTGAGAAGCCATGATTCCCTGGTTTTAGTTCTTCTTTACTTCTATTTATCTTTTGATTTCTTTGCAATCAAACAGAGTATTAGCAGAAAGGGAAACAATAAAATATATATATTTTTTGCATAGGCCTAAAATAGAATCATTTTCATGATCACTTGTAGGATATGAGCGGAAAGCTTTAAATTTTGTATTAAAAAAAAACAAACTTCTTGCAGGTGACATGGAGAATGAAAATATTGATTGAGAAAATAAAACTTGTTGCAGAATACCCCATTATTATTTCTGGAGCCAACTGATCTTTGGCAGGAGAAGCGAAGGTACCTGGATTTCGCACGGTGGTTCTTACAGTGTGCCCCTTCTCCAGCAGCGACTTCACTAGGTAAGCTGCTATGAACCCCGTACCTCCTGTTACACAAAATTCAGGCATCTCTCTCTCTCTCAATCTATTTATCTTGCCATGGTTGCTAGCTTTATATTGTAGTGATTTTGATGGATTGGGGGAAAAACAATCATGTCCTATTTATTTAATTTTCTTTATATTTTTGTATAGTTTTTAGTGGAAAGCATGTGAGCAGTGCTCTTTTGGTTTGTATTAGGTGATTTTGTCGGCATTGAAAAGAGAAGAATCTCATGTCTAATGCATTTTACTTTCTTTTGTACTATTCTCTTTTGTTGGGAAGCATGTAGACAGTTGAAAGACCAACAAAACCCTTGTCTAAACTTGTTTGTTTCATGTATTAAAATATCGGTTCACCTCATTAACAATGGTAACCTGCCAAAATTTTTATACCTAACCCCTACTGTCACATGCTTGGCTTTTGGTTATCTAACTACTTCTACCTAATGCTCTCCACTGAGCTTTAATAAAATGCAGTGTGTTTGGCAACACATTATGTCAAATACTTTGTGTTTTCCTAATATTTCTAATAATCTAGCAAAAAGCTTTCTTGTATCCTCAGAACTATTGGCAGAAAGATCCAGAGATTTTATTAGAGCTACCTCTCTTTCACTGGCTTGTAGGGATACAATGAATAAGAATATGAAATCTATTGGCTACTGACACTCTGTTTCAAGAGTAAGTGTGATGGCCTGGGGGTTAGTTTTACAAAAAGTTGGGTATGTGCACTTAGGCATTCTTGATAAAACTATTTGGCAACTCCTGGTCCTTGGACAAACCCGGAAGACTTTGGGCCTAATGCAATTGTGTCAAATATGTGCACCAGCACCCCAGGCTGTAAGTTGGGATTAGCTGAGCCCTAGATTGGCCTGTTTGGGGTGGACTGATGTTGGGCTTAAATTTAGAGCTAGCTAGCTAGACTTGTGTTTGCCAAAAACGGGGCACCCCAGGCTGGAAGTTGGGATTAGAAGAGCCCTAGTACCAATCTTGGCCTCGATTGTAGAGCTAGCTAGCTGGACTCGTGATTGCCAAAAACTTGTTTGAACTTGGGCTGAACCCAACGACTGTCTCATGTTAACATGTAGTTCTGTATCAGTGATTTTAGTTCTAAGAGATGCTAAATGTAGTGTTTTATCCTATCATTTAGCAGCCTTATGCACAGAAGAGCGAATACTATGTTCGAGCCGTTGTCTTTTCCTTTTTGGTTTGTTGACATGTAATGGTAGTCTAAGATTAGTTTTATATATTACTTCTTTAAAGACAATTTCACAGGGATTCTTAGGTTGGGGGATAAAGAGATGGATTCTGAATAGGAATCATAAAAATGAGTACTTCTCTTAAGATAAGGTCTAATATGAATTATTGGAATTTCTATAAAATCTCTCTCTTGGTGATTAGTTTCCAATCACCAATGTACATTGCCATCAATTGTATACCATACATATATATATATATGCTAGTAAAAAACACATGCAATGGATGTGATGAACAACTATAAAATAATGATGAATTAACTTTCCAAGTAAACATAGTAATTTGATGGTCATCTAAATGGACTAAAAAACTAATATTTGAAATATATATACAACATTAAATCTAATAATTATATCAAATGACATGGATGAGACTACCAAGAAGCAGAGATCTCTACATCTTTTCTTCTTCTTCTTCTTCGTCTTCTTTTTTTTTTTTTTTTTCAATTTTTTTTTTTACAAATATATATATATATATATATATATATATATATATATATATATATAATTACAAAATAAATACACCAAAACAGCATACTATATATAATCTTTATTATCTGAGTGTAATCACATAAAATAGCCAATAGTAAGTTTATTACTACAATTAACTTTTAAAAGTAAGCTACTATTATCAAATATCAATTAAAAGAGCAAGAAAAAGTACAGAGAGAGAGATAACCTTCAAACAGATTGTAGAAATTTGTTAGTGGGGATAACTCCAAGAAAGAATATAAACATTAATAGATAATTTTTTGATATTATTAAATAAAATCATGACTTTATAATAGTTTGGTTGAGAGCTATAATTATGTCATTTATTTTTCTTGATATTTTTACATAAAATTATGACTTTATAATAGTTTGGTTGAGAGCTATAATTATGTCATTTATTTTTCTTGGTTTCTGCACCTATACCATTTCTTTGGAGGGCTACGATGGTCCCTTCACATGAACCTTCCTGACCTTTCAACCCAATCCCCTGACATGAATTGAAGTGGTCTCAAGTTATTATTATGAATACTGCCTAAAATCAATAAAATTTTGAAAAGAAAACAATGTCTTATGGATCCGTTTCTGTCTAAGTTACTGTATTATTATGGGTTTTTCACATGGCTTTTGAAAGCCATTATACTGTATTTGTCAAAGTAATGTGGCATAACGTTGAAATATTCTAGTTTTCTGGCAATCTTTTGGGCTATTGACCTGTCAAAGACAGTCGGAATCAATTGTCAAATCATATACCGTCTTGGCACATGGAATTTGCTCCGGTGGTGTGGAATGATGCGACGGGATGGCTACGGTGCAATTAATCAAATATCATGCTTGTACTCCTTTTATTTTTTTTTTATTGTCCGCTTCGTAAACCAAAAAAAGGAGGGAGGGAATACTTTATTATTGCGGCTGCATTTGGGAGGATTTAAGTTTGGTTAATAAAGACAATTAGAAGAGTGCCCAGCTGTGATTTTTCATCATCAGCTGTTAAATTATGTGGAGTTTTGGGAGGAAAATGAATCATGTCAAGAATTTAGGAAGTGCTAGCTAACTTAAGTCTTCTCTGCCACTTCATTATACATACACATATGAATTCACAAAAAATGAATGGCTTTGGATTGTCTTGGAACCTTAATATCACTTCCATTTAGTCATTTTCTTTAGGGGGCAATGGATTGCACATGAGGTCTACTTTAAGTCCTGTATATATCATACAGGCAATGCCATACCACTTTAAAGAGGAATGCCATCACCTTAAATTAGATGGGAAGGACTTGTATATGGGTAGGTATGAATTTTTTTGTTTGGGGACCATGCCCTACTTCGTTGGTTTGTCCCAACAATGAAGCTAGTCCTCAATCATTCTCTTCTTGTCGATTTGTACACACCTGGTTATATAATTAATAAGCACAAATTTTATATGAATTTGTTTTGCCTATTCTCGCCATTAATAGGTAACTAGGTTGTTGAATTACATATAAAAATTGAATGCCTATTCTATCTAGCATGCTTCTTAAAAATAAATTACTTTAGAGCATCTCCAATGCAAAATGCTATTTTTGCATGCCAAAGCCATATTTTGAGAAGAACTACAGCGTCAAAATACTATATTTTAGCAATTCTACTCCGATGGTACATTTTATCCAAAATGCTATTTTTTTATACAATAACCATTATTTTTCAACTACCATTTTCAACTACTATTATTTTTCAATAGCATTTCCAATGCAAACTTTTTTTTCAATAGCATTCACACTTGTTTTCTGAAGTGTCGCGGGAGCCGATACCCTTTTCTGAGTTCCTCGCTCGTCATCATATGATTTGATCTTTTGCAATCCATCACACACTCCGCAATGATCTTATTGAACATTTGCGGTCACAACAAGGAAAGGCTTGAAGAAGTGTGTTTCAGATGTCCTTTGTTTGGATCATTGATTTATTAGTACATGTGTTTTGTACACTAGATAGTGTACAAGTGAGTTTGTATGTATATATATTTTTGGTGAGTGTTTGTATTTTATTTAGCTTGTTTACCTTGTTAAAAATAAATAAATAAATAATTTAATCATCAAATCCAACTGAGTCTTGAAAAAAATTTAATCATTAGATCCAACTGAGTCTTGTTTGCCTTTTTTCATTTTGTTCAACTGAGTCTTGGAATAAACTGAATGAAAACCAGTGAATCATTGCTAACACCTAGACGAATCTTACTAGGATAGTCCGCCAAACAAAGACCTCCGGCGAGCATCGACGTGGAGTTTAAAGTGAACAGGGTACTTGTCTAAATTTATACACTTAAATATCTACAGAGCTTCAGGTTTGCTGAGTTGACTTGGGCATGCTTAACTTTGTTAGGAGTGAGAGTCACGGGCACTTTTTTCATTACTACCAACAAAGAAAAAGTGAAGGAAATATTTTATTTTGCGTAAATGTTGAAATGGGTATATAGAAAAAATAGCGACACAATTTTGTTTTTTAAAAAAAACGAAAAATTACTCCCATAATTAAAAGTTCTTACCAAAAAAAGTAAAATCTGCAGTTTCTAGAATTATGAGATGATGTTAATTGTTTTGTTAGATTCGATCATATGTCCGTGGCATGAAAAATTCGATGCACACCTTTGACAACTGTACAGGCAGCTGCTTTTGCTGAATCATACATAAAAACCACCTTGAATATTTATGGTCTAGATGTATATACAAGAGTAGTTTCATGTGTTTTTTTGAATATACGGTAGACAGACAACCTGGAAACCACAAACCAAATATATGAATATTTGTGATACATACTGCTTGCTACATATACATGAAAGATAACTAAATTGCAACACAAAAGTAAATCCTTACCACACTGATTTAGAAACAACTAAAAGGCAAATTTTCCAAAATGAACAGGACCAATCTTTGCCCTAGAGTTTGACCACTTCAGGAATATGAACAGGGTACCTGTCTATGCAATCTACCCATGGGCCATCTGTTGGTTTCTTGATAGTTCTGTTACACTTCCACACTGCACTGTTACACTTGAAACCACTCCCAAACCCTATCTGCCAAATCCTGTCACCTTTCTTCATCCTCCCCTTGGCCTCAATATAGCTCATCTCATACCAAAGCGATGAGGATGATGTGTTGCCAAACCGGTGCAGCGTCATCCTGGATGCCTCCACATGCTCAGCCGAGAGCTGCAGGCTCTTCTGCAGCTCGTCGATGACTGCACGGCCTCCGGCGTGGATGCAGAAGTGCTCGAAAGCCTGTTTGAAGTCTGGAATATAGGGCTTCCATTTTTTGTTAAAGATCTTTCTGCCAATGAGTTTGGCAAGAAACAAGAGTTGCTCAGATGCAGGAAGGACAAGCGGCCCAATGGTGGTGATATTTGACTTCAAGGCCTCACCAGCTATTGCCATGAGATCGATTGAGAGCGATATCCCTACGTGCCCTTGGGGGTCTTCTTCTTGGTAGACGCAGCGGTAAGCTTTATCATCAGTTCCTTTGTGGGTTCGAACCACATGAACCAGGCTGTACTTGGCTCGCCTCCTGTCACACCACCGGTTTGATAAAAGAAGAGCAGCTCCGCCCATTCGAAACAAACAGTTTGGAAGAAGCATTGATCTTTGGTTTCCCAAGTAAATATTTGGTGTTATGATCTCTGTGCTCACAACGACAGCATTTGAGTTGGGATGAACTTGAAGTAAGTCACGGGCTAAATCAACGGATATTATTCCTGCACTACAACCCATTCCAGATAGGTTGAAGCTCTTTATGTTGCTTCTTAGCTTGTACTTGTTGATTACCATGGCCGATAAAGAAGGTGTTGGCGAGAATAGGCTGCAGTTTACAATGAGAATATCGATGTCTTTCGGCTTAAGTCCCGTCTTCTTGAAAAGTGAATCCATGGCAGAGAATATAACCAGTTCAGCTTCTTCTCTGGCAGCCTCCATGGTAGGGTTTGGTGGGATATAGTGTATTGCAGGTGGTACACACGTCTCCTCTCCAAGGCCGGACCGCTCGAGTATTCTCATTTGGAACTGAACACTTTTGGGCTGCGACCTCAAAACTATTCTTGCATGTTCCATGACAGTTGCGAAGGGGACTCGCATCGTGCATGGCGGCTTGAAACAAGCGTAGTCGACAAGGTATATTGTCCTGCCACGCTTCGTCAAGAGGTAGACGGTGGCAATGTAGAGAATGAGGAAAGATGAACAAATGATCTGAATAAGACTGAAGTCAAGTGACCTCCAAATGTTTAGAAGTTCATGTGGTCCTAAATGATGCACTTCAATGAGAGTTCCAATGATGATGGGTATGAGGAAGAGAATAGTAATGTGGTTGACAAAATATTGGTAGCCTAGTTTTACATACTTGAGCTTGACGGAGTTAGAAAACTCCGGCAATGTCGGAGACATCTTTGATGATGAGACAGAGAGAGAGAGAGCGAGCAGAGGGGAGGAAGGGTAGGGGATTTGGTGCAATATGTTTGAAAGGGGGTTAGGGATTTAAAGGCTAGCATAAGAGAGGCTAATATGGATGGAGGCAGATGAGAAGCTTAAATGAAAAGGTACAAATTTCATAAAACCTCTCTTCCACATTTAATAAAAAATTGACTGGTTGCAGATAGTGGTTCCAGTTCCTGTTGGAGTTAGATATATGTACTTAATGTATATACAGTGAGTTGAGTTTCTATTTGGTAGTTTATTTTACTAATTTGGTAAAGATCAAGAGCTCTTAGAAAGTGAAAAATTAAATATGAATTTGTGAAAACTACTACATCTAGAAAAAAATTTATTACTTGATTATTGTTAGTATATCTAATTAATTTTCCAACAAGACAGATTTGTTGATTGAAAGGGGTCCTAAACTCAGATGAATCCGTTGTTATTGGTGACATTGTTTCATGAAAAAAAAAATTCATGGAAAGCATAAATTTACATTTGACAACACACAATGCAATTTAAGAACTATTTATTACATGGGTCTGTTTGGTATTATTCGAAACTGACCTTCATAATTTTAACTGATATCGATTGTACTGTATGCCCTAGTGTCAGCTGGATGATGTTGAAAAGAGAAAGACCATGGCTGTTCACAGGTTGTTCAGTGACACACTTTAATAGCTATCTTTTTCCTGCTACACAATTTATTTTATTTTATTTTTTCTTATTGCTGTAATCACTAATTATATTTTCTTGTTCAACTGTCTCAGCAAGTCAGAATTCAAAATTCCAAATGGTCAGTGCATCAAGCAAGGTTATGTTAGCATTCTCTCTTAAAGCTTCTCCTGAATTTGGAAATTTGGGGAAAATGTAGGAAATCATTTGTAATAACACGTCTTATAGTATGCTGTAAAATTTTTCAACACCCTTGAATTCGTTTTCAACACAAAACATCTGTTGAATCTAAAAGTAATATGTTGAAATATAGAACAAATGTAGTGAAAGACGTTTTAATTGTGTTGAAATCTCTTTTCAACATGATTATTTTTTAGTTTCAATGCACTTCAATCGCGTTTCAACACATTTGTTCTATCTATTGAAATTGCATTGAAATATAAAATAAATTTGTCGAAATATGATTTAAACATGTTGAAAAACGCTACACTACCCTGCAGGCTACAGCATGGGCTACTACAGCAGGGGATAGATAGCTTCATTAGTTTTAGGTTCTAGACTATAACTATGGCATGTGTTTTGCTTGGCTAAATTGCCTACTTTTTTCACCCTATCCCATTTATTTGGAAGACTGTGGTGGTCTTCATTCCATAAAACTTCCTGACTTTTCTATCCGAACACCTTCCATGAATTAAAGTACTCTGTAGTGTGGTGGTTGGGGCTACCCACCTTATTTGTAACATGATCTATGACTCTACTGGAGGTCTCAAGTTACTAGAAAATTACTACATGGTCCCGGGATTTCGGATCAATCACTATTTGACACCTAAGTACACGTGTCAAAAATGTATAATTTTTACTCAGCTTTCTCACGGGTCCTAAAGGAAGTGCCAGCATTTACTTTATTTGTGACAATAACACTGAATACTTCTTGTACTCTTATCGGTCTTTTGGGCTTACTGAATGCTGATGTGTCAAACGTCATGCCCATAGTCATACTTGATTGTTTTCATTGTGTTTAGGAAAGTTGGTGATTGGATAATAAAGAGAATTATTCAGATCCATCCCATGGAGCTTTCAGAGAGACTGAAGATTGAAGGGATGAATCAGAAAGTGCTAGCTAAGTAAAGTCCTCTCAGCCACTTCACTATACACACACACACACACACACACACACACACACACACACACACACATTTATAAGTCTTTGAATCCTGTGAGTTCCACAAGGGGAGTTTACAGATCCAAAGGAGTCACGGCTGTAATTAGCATTTCCTTACGTTGTACTTTCCTTGGCCGTTCTTTTGTTGTCATCAACACTAGAAGAATCAACTCGGTGAGAACACGATATGAGGTCTACTTATATATGCTTGTTAGTCCGTGTATGTTCCAACAATTTCATCTGTAGTACTTGTGCATGTCTTTATCTTTTCTCTTGTTTAGGAGCAATAAAGTGCACATGAGGAGTACTCTCAGAAAAATATAAGCTTGCCTCTCGTAGTTGAAATTGGGTGGGTGAGCCAGACATGTCATGACATTCTTATGACCTATTTTTTAAAGGTGACTTCGTACATGTACCGATTATAAATTCAAAAGTCAAAGAACGAATATTGATAAAAATCGATCGTTCTAACATGAAGTTCAACAAAGAATGTCTCTTATATTCAGGCGGTAAAAACCTCAATATTTTTTTCTTTTTCTGGAAACAGGCTGATTGCAAAATAGAATGAAAGAGAGCCGTGGTGGCTTATTGTCACATCATGAGGTGGTCCACTGATTTAAGGTTGGTTTAGTTTATTTCGGTGCTTGATTAATTGCATATGGTCGTGTTAGGACGTAATGTAACATGCCTATGCATTTTGATGGCTCTCTCACTGTGTGTGTGTGTGTAGTACGAGGCTATAAAACTTCGACGATCACCAGACAAACGCTGTTATAATTTAGTAGTGTGTTTATACACTGCAGATGGCAATGTCGTATGCAAAGTTTTTAATGGCATGGACCACCTTACCCTAGTGTGGCAGATGATTGATTATAACCATTCAACGGCACATGCATCAAGATTATTAATAGGCCTCGCTTCTTGGTGTGAATAATGTCGTGATAGAATTTTGTAGTTGATATTATGTACGAAGTATTGAATTGGTAATTTGAATGTAGTTGATATTATTTTCGATACTATGTTCGAAGCATTGAATTAATTTGGATTTTCTAAATATGAATTATAACGGAAAAAAAATTTTTGCATATGCATCAAGATTATTAATAGGCGTCACTTTTTGATGTGAATAATGCCGTGATAGAATTTTGTACTACTATGTGATACACCGGTGATATTATGTGTAGTATTATTGGATCGGTGGTTTGAATTTTTCAAGTATGAGTTATTCAATGCCTCCATATGTCGGGATGGGTACATTTTTAACTTGAAGAAGTGCATATAATTAACAAGACATCAAACCTATAATATTAGAATTATGCTACTAATTAATCTTTTGTTCTCCATCTTGGGTAAAGTTTCATTTACTAGGAAGAAAATTATGATAATTTAGTCATCATTAATAAAGGTTCCATCACTCAAGAAAATATGTGAAAACATTTTGTCGGATGAACACAATTTATTTATATATATATATTTGGAAATTCAAGCAAGTTATATTGATAGTATAAAAAATTCAAGCAATTTTTATATTGAATGGTGTGGATATCACATATTATTTCAAAGAGATAATTCATCACCCTACCCTATCCCTTTAACTATCTCTCTCTTTTTTTTTTAAATGGAAAAAAATGAACTGAAAATGCAAACTTCAAATATTTTTGTGTTATTTTTATTTTTTTATAGTTATGGGCCGAATAGTGACTTTTGTATACTTCAAGTATTCCTAGTTTAAGCCCAAACTAAAATCAGATATGGGTCTGAAAGTGGATATTGTTGGGCTAGGTGTGAGTGGAATTCTTGGGTTAGATGTAGGTGAATCGTGTTCCCAAAAAGCCCTAGTTGAAGAACAGGCCCACCTTAATTTTAGCCCAAACTTTTTTGATAATTATTCGTGCACAAAACATAATTTCCATTACAAAGACAAAGTCAAGCCTCAAAATGCCACTACAAAGTAATAAAACATCAAATTTATTTATTTTAGCAGCGTCAGGGTCTTTTAGAGCATCCAATAATTTACCATCAGACACATACAGTCTCCTCATCTCACATGTATCATGCACTGGACAATTACTGGAAAAAGCAAAATGCCTGACACACTTTTTTATGTACAATACAATATGCTACATATATAAATCTAGAGGTGTCGAAATTCAACTCCGACTTCTACTCAGATATATGATGCAATGAAATCATACCATGAAATAAAATGGGATCCGTTTCATTGCAACATACGACCGAGGAGAGGCCAGTCTTGGATTTTGGCATCTCGATCTCCTCAATTTAAAAAAAAATATTTGCACACTCACAATGTGGAATAGGGCTTGTATGGCTTAAAAATGAGAAGGTGGGTGTTACTTAATTGTGACATGAAAGTTACCGATGCTACATCCTAATCCTTCCTAAACCCCGTCTTCGTGCACTAAATAATATTCAATTCGCAGGTTTGCTGGCCTAACTGTCCCTCCCTTTCTCCCTCGCAACAATTTGCTGTAACCAGGTGGCATTCTTAATGCCGCCTTTGTGCAAACGCATGCATATGTACATACATAAATACACATACGTGTATATATGAATATATTTTAGGCTCTAACATACAATATATGTTTGAATCAAATATTAATGTTGTTTATGGTTTATCATATATATATATATATATATATTTTAGACTTTAGGCCAATTTTGTCTGGTTGGTAATCACTTGGTTGGGGGTAGACAAATCACCTACACCGTCACCAACCCCCACTTCACTTTCACAGATGTTTCTTACATTTCTTCCATAATATTCTACTTTTTCTTTTCCTTCAAAGTATTACAATGGTCCAAGAGTTTACTTGTACGAATACATACATAGATATATATATATATAAACAGATATATATATATATATATATATACACACACGCCACTCACGTGAAGCAGATTGAGGGGAAAGAATGGGCTTACAATGAAATGTTTACAAAGCTTAATGTCGGTTGGTCATGTTGCATACATTTGACTAATTGACAATGATTTGAAAAACCCTTCTTTTTGGAGGTCAGACCCATTTGACATTGCACTTATAATGAAAAAATAATTATATTTATAGAGTGATTTTCATAATTAAAGTAATTTTTAACTTGATTTGTAACAATATTGTTTAAAAGTTGCAATTTTTTTTTTTTTTTTTATTACCAAACACCTAACACAACTAAAAAATATATATATACTTTTAAAATAAAAATGTTTTTAAATAGTTGAAACACAAAGTTGTTTTTCTTATAAACAACCCAGAATGTCAAACAGAATCATATTCTTCTGCTTACCAACTCCTCCCTACCTACCTTGAGTTGAAATGGATGAGAATTGCCGGTTGGACTTGGTATAGAATTCCATGGTTGGACCTGAACTAGGTTTGACATTTTGAGCTTTGACATCTTATTAATTATTAATTAGTCCAATCACAAATAATTCCTAATTATAAAATTAAGAAAGTGATAAATAAAGATAATATATATATATATATTTTTGGAATTAGTTTAGTCACCTTCTCTGATTTTTTTATTTATCACTTTTTTTTAATTTTGTAATTATAAATTATTTATATATTTGTGATTGGACCACATCACAGTCGGTAAGACTGATCTACTCACATGTGAGTGGACAAGCACAGTTACTTTGTACTTTTATTTTGAGTATTTAATACTATTTTAAAACCCGAAATTAATTTTTTGCTTTTGATTTTAACCTTTTTTTCGGAAGCATTTTAGTGCTATTCAAATTATAATATACCTTATCAAACACACTTAATATTTTTGTACTAGATAAGTACAATGTGATATTAAATGAATCTGAAATTTTATTTGCTAGGGTTGGTTTGAAATTTTATTTTCTTTATTGTTGGACCACAATCCCAAAACCAAAAAAAAAAAAAAGCCCTTTATCCAACGGTTACGTCATTGGAAATAAATCAAGCAAAGAATCTAGTACACAAAGAAGGCCAAGTGAAAGCTAATTAAGATCCTGGATTGCAACGTGTCTGTGTTCATACCCTCTTATTAACACATGGAAAAAAAATTTAATAACTCCTTAATAATAAAAAATAATATATTTTTTTAATTTAAAATATTACTATCTCGGTTCCATTTTCAATGTTTTTCTTTATTTTTTTAAAAAGGACATTTAAAATGAGATAGAGAAAATATATTCTAGCTATTGCGTGACATTATGCACACTGTTGTACACAAATAAAATATATACACATATATTCACAATTTTTTAAAAAATTACTGGTCCACTCCTTTTCTTGTCATTTATTTTAGGGTAAACTATAACGATTTCTCCTGAAAATTGGTCTAATTACAACTAAACTTGAGATTTGTCATTTTCTTACAACGTGTCTCCTAATTTTTGCCATTTTTTACAAAGACTTCCCCTCGGTACAAAATTCAATCATTTTTATCAAGAAATTTGGTTAAAGTGACTAAACTGCCCATCAAATAAGTGTGAAAAACCATATTACCCTTATAATGTTATGGAATAACAAAAAACCCATGCATGAGTGGACTAAACTACCCCTTAATTAGGTCATTGTAGTTTTCCCTAAAACACCGTGCATGCGACCACGCCCATCATCGTCCCTCTCTCCATCACTGTCCCTGACATCTCACGCGATCGACCACACTCACGTTACCAGTGTTGCTCCACCGTCGTTCAGACTATCACCGCCCTAACCTTTACCGTATGGTCCGTTGTCCGTCCGTCGGTACAACAACCCCCAAGGCCTACAAGCACTTCCTCAAGAGCTACCACATCATCGTCGTCGGAGATGGCAACGTCGGCACTCTCAGGGAAGTCCACATTGTGTCCGGGCTTCCAACGACTTTGAGCACTAAAATTCTCGAAATCCTAGACGACGAGAGGCATGCTGGAATTTATTTATTTTTTTACATGTATCCTAATGTTTTTGTATTATGAAATTGCCATATTAATGATTTAGTTTCCTGAATTCCATGAATTTGAAGGAGAGAGATGACCCAAATCGCCTTTTTTTATTTCAAACCCATTTTTCTATCTTGGTTTCCCTTCAAAGGTGTGAAAATATTTCTCTATTGCGAATTTGACGATTTCAAAGGTGAAGAAACAGAACCAGCTTGTGAAGGCTTCGGACCCTTTCTCTTAACTGGGTTGCTAATTCCCATGGTAAGAATTTCAGCAACATAGAGACCAACTGAGAGCCTGAAGCTTCATTAAAGGCTTCATTGTGTGTGTGTACACACACACATACATACATATATGATTCTATAGGTGGAAGGTGGTGGTGTGTATGGTACTAGTGATGGTTGGTGGCGAGGCTATGGAGAGGAATGTGGAATGGTAGGGAAACGTTAGTGGGCAAAAGGGTCATTCCCTATTTTTTTAAAGATATTTTGATTATTTTTAATAACATAATAATAAGGGTAGAGGAGTAAATTCACCATAAAATCCAACATTGGAAGTCTTTGTCCCAAAAAAACAGAAAAAAGAAACAAAGTAAAGATTTAGTTGCAATTAGGTCGAACCTCGAGTGGAACTAATTGTAATTTACCCTTTATTTTATTCCTAAAATGTAAATATGTTTCTTTCAATAAATATATATGTATATATATATATATATATATAGAAACACAAAATACACGTCAAAAACTTTCCCAAAAAAAAAAGCAATACACGTCAAAAAGCGAAACGCGGACACGAAACCAAGTTCTTTTTATATTTTTGTGAATTTATTTTTAATTTAATTTGTAGGTAAAAAAGTCCTTTCCTTGGTCACCGGCGCTTTAAAGCTCATTAAAACAGCTAAACATGCTCTGTTTCTTATATCTATATATATTACCAGATGCTGTGTGAACTGTGAATACAGAGAGAGACGGAGTGTAGAGAGAGAAACAGAGAGATATGGGGATTGAAAAGGCGACGGCATTGTTGGAAGATCTGATAGAGAAGGCAGGTGGCTGCGCCGTCGTGGACGGGGGTTTCGCCACCCAACTCGAGAGACACGGTGCCGCCATTAACGACCCTCTTTGGAGCGCTCTTTGCTTGATCAAAGACCCTCATCTCATCAACCGGGTATCTCTTTCTCTCTCTCCTATGCCATACACCACATATATATATATATATATATATATATATATGTATGTTCTATATCAGAATCCGGATCCCATGACTTGATCCTGTGCCCGTGTAGATCGTTATTGCAACACATTATAACTTAGTGTCATAAGAAAAGAAAAAAAATTGTTAATGAGGAAAGTAGAATTGTTGCATAGGTGATAAAATCCGACATGGGATGAAATGACACATGATAGAATCAATCGGCGTCATAAGAAGAAAAAAAATTGTTAATGAGGAAGGTAAAATTGTTGCACTGTAATGACACAGAACCCGACACGGGATGAAATGACACATGCTAGAATCAATCGGACTTAACTGTCTTTTTCAAATTTAATGTTGAACTCCCTTTTAAAGAGTACAATTTTTTGGGCATGTATGTATTATTTTTGGGATAGCAATATAAATTTGACATATAATGCAATGATTTGTAATTTCAAGGCTTATGATTGTGTTCAAACTTTGGTATATATATATAGGTTCACTTGGAATATTTGGAGGCTGGTGCTCATATATTGGTAACTTCATCTTATCAGGTACGCACCTCTGTATTCTATAGCCTTCAATGTTATTAGGTTTTCTCTGTTTAATTTGTGTTAATAAGATTAGAATTGTTTTTATTTGATTGTTAAAATCTAGTTATGCTTCTTTATAGGTACATTTTTTCCAATATAATTGTTCTTTCATTGCACAAAACAAGCTTTTCTACAGATTTGGGAAAATGATCGGACACTGCAGTTGATCATTTCCACTTCTCTGGTGTATAGATATTGACTAGAAGAAAATAATGTCACCTGTTATTCAACCATGACATGTATCAAATAGGGAGACCGTCGTGTCACGATCCGCCCTGCTGTATAGATATTGTCCATTTTGCATATTGTTCGATATTGTTCGTGTCCACAATTTTCAAAATGCATCTACACAGTTAAGAGACATCCACACATATAAGTGCCAACAACCTTCTCCCAAACAATGCGGGACGTCACACATTCATGTGTGCACTGACAAATTTTCTTCACTTATCATTTGTAAAAGTGTTTTATTGCATTAATCAGTTTGTTAAACAAGAAATGCATTCATCACAAAGAAGTCCCTGATTCAGATTTCATCTTGATTCTTGCATCTTTTATCGGTCTTGATTCCTATATTGTACTTAGGATGATTAAAAAAACACACATGATTGAATGAGGATGGAGGGATATTGAAATTCGGGATTTTATTTTGCTGAAGCTAATTCCAAAAATCATATGTGCAATTTGGATTTTGAACTAAGCTACTTTTTTTTCACAATTTTATGTTTTTTGTTTCAAGGCTACTCTTCCGGGATTCCAGTCCAAGGGACTGTCCATCGAGGATGGGGAGTTGTTACTGAAAAAGAGTGTAATGTTGGCTGTGGAAGCCCGCGATAAGTTCTGGGATATCATGAAAAGAATTCCCCAACATAACTATCACCGTGCTTTGGTTGCAGCCTCCGTTGGGAGCTATGGAGCTTATCTTGCTGATGGTTCAGAATACAGGTCACCTGACAATTGCCTATTTCTTCACAAATTTTTTGTTCACAAACATAATCGATGGTCCAAAATCATTATGCTTTGAATAAATGTGTCTTACTCGTATGAATCTCTTTCGCATACTTGAAACATCTTAGTATAACAAATGCCTATATGTTTTTTGTGTCCAGTGGTTGCTATGGTCCAGATGTGAGTTTGGATAAGCTGAAGGATTTTCATCGTCGCAGATTGCAAGTTCTTGTGGAAGCTGGTCCAGACATGCTGGCTTTTGAGACTATTCCGAATAAACTAGAAACTCTGGTATGTTCTTCCATTAACTTTGCTTTGTAGCCTTTTCCACATTATGAATAATTAGGCTAAATAGTCGAGCAGGATTCATATGACCGAGCAGACTCCATTAAGTACCTTAAAAAGAAAAAGGGACTCTATTCATGGAATTGTAAATCGATATGAACTGAACCAAAGCTTGTTTGAAAAATACGAGACAATCTTTGATACGATTTCTTTTATGCTTGTGTTGATATCAATTTGCAGGCCTGTGTTGAGTTGCTTGAAGAAGAAAATATTCAAATTCCGTCTTGGATCTGTTTCAGCTCCGTAGATGGCGAGAATGCACCATCCGGAGAGAGCTTCAAGGAGTGTCTCGGTGTAATTAATAAGAGTAGCAAAGTTGCTGCAGTCGGAATCAATTGTGCACCACCCCATTTTGTTCAGGGTCTCATCCAGAAATTTGGGGAGGTAATAACTTTTCGTTCTTTTATTTTACATGTTCTTTTAGGTTTCTTCTTCGTTTTCATAATAATGAATGGCATGCCATTTTAGTGATCTGAACTGCAAAATATTTTCTGCTTCCAGTTAACTGAGAAGGCAGTAATTGTCTATCCCAACAGCGGCGAGGTATGGGATGGCATAGCTAAAAGATGGCTGGTAAGTGCATCTATATTTGCAGTTTTATCAATAAAATTCACGAACGCTTTGTGAAGGAACTTTTAGGAAAGCCCTGTGTGTGTGTGTGTGTTTGTGTTGCGTGGGCACAAAATTTTGTGAGTTAACAAACTCCTCCTTTGAAATGGCAGCCATTGAAGTGTTTTGGAGATGACAAGTTTGCGTTGCTTGCTACAAGATGGCGCGATGCAGGTGCTAAGCTCATTGGTGGCTGTTGTCGAACCACGCCTTCCACCATCCGAGCCATTTCAAAGGCTTTAAAAGAGAAGTCATCCTGATTCATAGTTTCACAACAACTATGCATGCCTTACATTCCCAATCATAATTTATTGTTGTTTTTATTCAAATGAAATTCATTGAAAACTAGAAGTGTGTTACTAACTTAGTCCACCTTTTTTTTTTTGGCCACATTTTTTCATTCCAGAAATTTAGTGAACAGTTGAGGCAGGGCAACAAAATTTTGTTAGCTGACCAATTAAATTATTTTTGGTCGCAATTAATAGATGATTACACTGTTTACACATTACCTCCAGAACCACTTCCAAGCGACACCCTTCTTCTACTCGTTACCATTGACGGAAAAAATACAATGTCCACACCGAGCAAGAAAAGAATTTAGTGATGTTGAATTGTACCATACTTGAATGTGAATGTGAATGCGAATGTGAATGTGAATGAAGGTTCCAAAGGCCAAAAGCAAAACAATACTAGTTTCAGCCAGTGTGGAAAAAAGCCAGTTATCTTGGTAGTTCTCAAAGGCTTGCAAATTCTTCCACAAATGAAAAAGAGTTTTCCAAGAGGACATTGTGAGTTCCCTTCTGAATGATGAAATTAAAACTTGCAAGACTTCACTCTTTAAAAGCTTCTATAATTTCTAAGCAGTCAAGGTTGTGTTACATGGTCTCAATCTTGATAGAACGCAATCCACACCAACAAAAGTACATTCTTGCACTGCAGAAGGGTAAGTGGAATGTAAATGAAGCAAGCAGCCGTAATGCAGCTAAACTGTAGGCTAAGGAACGGCGTGCAAGGTAGAGCAAAGACGATTGAAACCAAATGAATGTACAAAAGATCCATGGCCGCCTTGGTGAGGTGGGTTGCAAACACAAACTACTAGGTCTGATGTTGCATTTTTAGGAGAACAAATGAAAAATATCCATAAATCAATCATACTTGAGTTTCACTTTGCGAACCTGTGCACTTTCCTGAGGCCATCACTGCCACAGAGTTGTATAATAACCACAAAAATGATAGAGAACTATAATGCATCTCCGTTTCCAACTAAAAAAGCTGAATGTTGGTTGAAGCCAGAAGGCCGAAAAGAAAATGTATTAAGCAAAGTAAAATGACAGCACTCTACCAATTATCCACAAGACAAGGAGAAACTATCTAGATACTGACACCGAGAAGAAAAAAAACCCAGACATGCAAACTCAACTGCACAGCATCTCCACGAGGGATCAACGTCGGGGAGGGCCACGCTTATCATAAGGTCCCCAAGCTCCACCACCATAGATATCACCAAATGCACCACCTGAATATCTCATTTCAGGGCTTCCATTCAACATTCCATAACCCCCAGGACCTATAAAAATTACCAGTGAGTCCTCAATGACCAAACTTATTTTCCAAAGGTTCAGAAGTTACAGACTACGGATAGTTCTGGCTTTCGAGGAATAATACAAAATTGCGTGTGTAAGAGAGAGAGATTTTACCAAGTCCACGTGCTCTCCTCTCTGCACCCATTTGCTCTGCTCTTAGCTTTTCTATTTCACGAGCCATGGAAATGAGGTTTTTCTCCATTGCTTGCTTTTGTTCCGTTTGCTCCTCATTTGCTTTCTTCTCATATTCATAAGCTCTCCTACAAAAAGTAAGCACGGTGAAATGTGTAATACTGGTCCCAGTGCGTGTAACACACTTCCTCAAAACATTAAGACTAATAAAACAGAATAACACAACCGATATAACTCGTTTACAGAAAATTCAGTAGATAACAATAACGAGCTTCAAACCTGGCTTCCAATAGCTCTTTGTGCATTCCATCAATATCAGTCCTCATAGCATTGAGTTGCTTGTTTTCAGATTGCAATTGAGTGATGTCCTTTGTAAGAGTTTGAACTTGGGCAGACAACTCCTGCCGTAAAGCATTCAATTTCTGAGTTTCTGCTCTTAACTGCATAACCTCTGCCCTCAAAGGCTCAGCAGCACGAAGCTCAGCTTCTAGCTTCAATCCTCTCTCAATCAACTCCCTTGCTTGTGCCTCTTTGTCAGCACGAAGTTTAGGAATTACCTGACCTAATCTGCGAATCTCATCTTTTGCAGCAGCCAGCTCCCTTTCAAGAATCACATTTTCATCAATCACATGCCTATTTTCAGCATGAAATCTCTGCATATCTCTATACTGGATCTCAAGTTCCTCCTCCAGAGCTGCAGGGTGAACAGAGAGGGGTCCAGGTCCTCGGTGTAAAACAGGTCGAGGGCCATCACGAAAACCATGGAAACCATCAGGCTGGCGAGGCATACGGTTTCTTCCTGCCATACTCAAGATCCTACAGAGATGATCGATAGTCACCTATAAGCAAAGAGGCAAGTTGAATATGGTCCTAGCTTCCTAGCCAGGCATTAATGACAAAAAGAAACTATGGTCTTCACCCAAGTAACAAATTGCTCAACAACATTGATAAATTTAAACAGAGAGACTTCCTTGCATTACATATTTCCATGCTTCTTACAACCACTAATGAAATTACATGAAAAACTGTAGGAAGGGCAATCAATTTCGAACCGGTCAAAATCATAATTTTGCAGGCCAATGGATGTCAGAGACACCAATTGATCTTAAGCATGCTTGCATTTTTTAAACTCAATCTCTGCAGTAGTGGGGACACATCACAGCTTCTTACTGTGTAAAGAAAACCTCAACCTCATTAGCAGCCACATCATCCACCGCGCAGCCCATCAAAATTTTATATATGTTTTCTTATGTTTCTGAAGTTGGTTGTACTTTTAAATTATAGAATTGTTAGACATGGATAACATGACCCATGGACCGCCTTTCATTCAAATTGTACTTCTGGTCTGGGTTCTAACATGTGAATTTAATGGTTTATATTGTGTTTCATAATTTTCATTTGTAGTTTCCAAATTTGGAGTTCAACTTGTAACAGAGTTGATATTACTCTGAGATCTATGAATAAAGATATAACGCTATTAATTCAATAGAGCATAGTTTTTCGAGAACTTTTCAGCATTTCTACTCTGTGTAGTGTGATTCAATGCGAACCTAGCTCTGGTGCCCAAGGAAGGCCATGAGTGACTCCAAATTTATTCTCCTATTTCTCTCTTCTTTATTATTAGTATTATTAAACTTTTCTTAAAAAAAAAAAAAATTTATGTTGAACTAATAAGCTTCAAAATCCCATAAATTAAACTCTTTCCACCCTTAAAAGAAATCACACTCCAAACTCTTAACACTCCGAGATTAACCCCAACTAGTAACCAAGTGCTATTAATTTGTACTTTTCACAATTTTAGAATAACCCCAAATTTGATTACCCCATTTTACTTGTTGCACGTTTACAAATTTTTTTTTTTTTTAATCCGATCATCCTAGCCACCAATTAACTGACTTCAATTAGTCTTAAAAAACTGATACACTACTTATAGCAAAACTAGCTCCATCAGGTTCATTTTACTGGTCGATGACACTATCTGGCAAAACACAAAGGATGGTTTCTACCCAATTTCCAGATGCCCCATTATGAACTGAACAACTTAAATTATATTAAATAAACAAACAAATAAATGAGAACAATATTCGATGTTCAAACCATTCTAAGTTCAAACCACTCATAACTAAACAAAACTCATCTTAGGAAGGTTCAGCTAAGTTTCGCAACCCATAATAACAATTGTCAAAGCTACAGTTATGCAAATAGCAATTTTGTCAAACAAATACCAAGAAAGATCAATGAACAATCACAACTGAATCCAACAAATTCTTAATCGGTGCAAACACAAATTGAGCTTTTCTACGCAATCTATACACATATATGTGAACATACATATATAGATATATTTATATATACATATATAAACATATAAATTGTGTATAAAGAAAGTACCAAATAGAGAGGAGCGATTCCGGAGAGAGTCTTCGATCTTCCCTCTTCTATCAGTACCTGACGAACCCTACTTTTACTTGCTCATTTTAATTGAGTCACTTTATCAAGACAAAAATGCCCTTGCTGTTTGCCTGAAATTCCTCTGTGAACAAAAGTTTTAGATGGGCGGGCCTGGGCATAATAGTATTTGCCGAACAAGTGTTGGGCTGTTTCTGTTGTGCCAACCTTTGGGCTTAGTCTGGTTTGTATGGGACTCTAATGGGGAATTAATTTGGGCCTAAAACCCATCTTTTGTAGTATAAATGTATCATTGACCTTAAATCTCACAATTGGGCCAACCACAACATGTTAAATGAAACTAAAAATGACGGGGGCCGGTTTGATCATCATCTTTTCACCTTTTATGGTTACAGAGCCATTATCTCTTATTTGTATTAAACACTTGCATTCTAAAAGTTCATAGTGTAAAAGATTATTTATTAATTGTGGCCCACATCACGTATAATGTTTATGTGCAGGGGCGGAGCCAATTAAGGCCTAGAGAGGGCACGAGCCCTCCCTCACTTTGCTCCAACCTACTATATATAGGTACATATTTTTGGTACATATATATACTTACATGGTAATTTTAAATAGTGCCTCCCCTCAAATTTTCAAATTTTTTTAATTTCCTTTTAGAAAGAAAAAAAAATTACATATATTCCTTCTTCAAATATACAATATATTTTTCCTTTTCTAATTTTTGTTTCCTTTTTCAAAAAAATTCTTTTTTCGCTTATGTATAATTATGTATTTTTCTATTTTTTTAAACTTATTTCTTTTTATCGATGACATTTGTGATTGTATTTATTTAAAATATTATTAATTAATTTTTTTATTCTTATATTTGTAACTATATTTTTTTTACGGTATTTATTTAGCATATTAATTTACAACTATTTTTTTTCTTATTTGTCTTTTTGATTTAAAAAAAAATTATATTGTCATATTTATTAAAAAAAAAAAATTTAACAAGTGCATTGTGCCCCCTCTGAACTAAAATCCTGACTCCTCTGCCCCTGTTTATGTGTGTCTTACATAGAGAATTCAATTGTCATGCTCAGAGTATCTTGAAAAGCTTGTCTCAATCTTTACGAAGTTTATTATCATGAATAAGTAAAAACGTTTGCGTTTTTACATATTCATAATACATAAATAAATAGTTACACGAATAATTCTATTCAACACTTTTATGTCGTATAGCAAAACAAGCATTACCTCCTTGAAATCCTTAATTACAACCCATCCCCTTGCCCACCAAGAGGACAAACTTATTAAATTATTTTTTTTTAATTCGATAAATCCAAAAGCTAGTTGGCTAGTTGGTTATCACTGTTTTATTTATTTCTTTTAGTAACACGTGGAGAATATTTATTGATGAGGATGGTTTTTCCCATTCATGTGTACATACACGCACTAAAAAAAAAAAAGTTTATTATTTCTAAAAATTTTGACATTAATCTGTATTTGTGATTATTGTCAAAGATCTTTAACTTTGACTTCTAAATATGTAATTAATATAAAAAAATATCAAAATTAACTCTTAAAAAAAAAAAATGAAAAAAATCTAAAACTCAATCCATGGACAAAACATTAACCACACAAAGGATAAAATATCCATAATCATAGATGTGATTTGTGGAATATAATAATTCGGAAAACATGTACATTGATGAGCCAAACAGTGGGGAAGATGAGGACAGGTTAGGGAGTCAATTGGATTCCGCATCCAAACGGCTAGCCGACGAAACAAACGGCTTAAAGAAATCACTCCCACGTTCGCAGCTTTTCAACCTCTTCCGCCGCATAATACGTGGCCCTTTCCCACATCGATTTCCCTCCTCTTTTTTTTATCCTCTCTCTCTCTAGCCCTTTCTCTCTCTAACAAATTTGAGTGTCCAAACACCGGAAAACGAGAAGCTAACACACTCCAAATCCACCATTAACAAATGCTTAATTGATGAAATGTCCAAAATACCCCTGAAAATTCCATTCTGTTTATACATGTAAATGTAATTGTAAACTATAAATAGGAAGGCGAATTCTTCCAAGCTTAATTTGACAAATAAGTTTGAGAAATCAATCTAAGAATCATCATACATAATATTAAAACAACTCACTAACTCTATTCAGTTGAAAAAAAAAAAAAATTTGAATGGAGAGAAGAATGGATGGATCAGACATCCCTAAGAAAGGGATTGTGTATTTCCTTCTTTTTGTTCCGTTTGATAGAAAAGAAAGGAATAAACTCATAATTTATTATATTCGTTAAAAGAGAATGAAAAATAAAGTTTTAATTATTTTTATCATTATATCCAATAATATTAATAATATTGAAATTTATAGATATAATACGTTTAAAACTTGTATATTTTATAATATTATTTAATTTAAAACTCCTATAATAGTTCACTTGTCTTGCCTCTTTTCTTTCGTTTATTTTTGGACAGACATATTTGTAAAGGGAAGTCATCCTTCCTCTGTCTCAATAAAAATTCTGAAGATTTCTGAAGACGAAAAAAAATAAGCGTGCCACACTTACGCCATTTTCTTAATCAAAGGCTTTCATTCGTCGTTCGAGATCAAGCCCCGCCAACCGTTGTTCAAATAAAGTTCAACCACCAGTTCAAGATCAGGTTTATGATACTCTTGTACCGATTTTTTAAAGAAATTTAAGAAAGATTCTAATTATAATAAAATCGAATACAGAAAATTATACTCTATTTTTTTATTATTTAATAAAATTATTATTTATAACATTTATTTATTTATTTATTTATTTTATATTACCGAACAAATAAAGGTCATCAAAAAATGAAAGAGGTGAGCGTGCACAAACGAGAACCAACTAAGCTAACGAACTCCAAATGATAATGAATAAATATAAAAATGACGAAATGCCTAGAATACCCCTGACAAAATCCTTTCCGTTTTCACTCGGTGGAAATTTGTAAATCTCCGTCTCCATGCACTTTTCCCGAAAATGCTATAAGACAAAGTATTCACTGGAAATGGTAATAAAATAGGAAAAACAATCCAAATTACACTGACGTTCTCGTTTAATTAGACTTTTTTTTTTACTGTTTATGGAATCACTGTCGTTGTTTAACTGTGAATGAATCTTTATGCAGATCCTCTCTTTCTATAGATATCTCTAGTTTATCATTAAATATTATTACTTAATATACATATGGTAACTGACAAGGCAATCGACATGACTATATATAGCTATATATATAACTATATATGTAAAACATTACTTGCGTTAACTATAGCTAGGGCGTTACTAATAATAACAACCGTCTTTACCCACATACAACAAGAAAAGTGGGTAAATTAAATTGTAAAAAATTAAAAAAATAAATAAATAAAGAATAAATTGATGATGACAACACTAGGACAATTTAGTTAGGTAATTCTACCTTACAAAGAATATAACCTCTTGGAAAGTAAGAAGTATATTTCCTAACCTCTTTAGGTTATTTGATTATTAGAGAGAGAGAGAGAGAGAGAGAGAGAGAGAGAGAGAGAGGTGTTTTCAAACTTATTGAACATCATATACACGCACGCACGCACGCACATTTATGTTGTGTTTTTTAAAACAAGTTAGGGACTTGTCACATAAAGTTTGTTTTACCAATAATACAGGGGCTTCTATTTTGTATAACTTCTCTTACACCCTTTAGTTTGAAAAGAAATAGAACTCTTCTAAGTTGAAATCCGATTCGGTCCGAAGAGGAAAGCATCTTGTAGTAGGCTTGTGCATGTATCCAAATGGCACCAATGTCGTTTTAGTATACATGCACGAAACATATCAAACTATGTAGAATCCCAGCACAAGGCTCCGTGTCTCCGCTCAAATGGTATTATTTTGATGCACAAAACTTTAAGAATCTCCTCAATCAAATTCAATTCAATGAATCTGATTACCAAACAATTTAAATTGTAGCTAGAAATGATCTTGAGTATACTAATCCCAAATTCTTTTTGCAACTCTAGATAACTATAAATATTTTTCACTTGTCTTTATGAAAGTATCAAAATTATTCTATTTATATATATCATCTTGTAAAAATCTTTTACACTAATAAAAAGAGGGAAATTTTCCTACTTGTCTAATATTACTAGCAAGAGACTTTAAAAACATTACGGTTGGCACATTAAACATTCATGTCGAAGTTTAAAAAAAAAAAAAAAATGATTTGAACATGACGCAGACAACAACATAGACATTTTGTAAGAGTACATTAAAAGGAAGAAAAATTATTTGGAATAATAAAGACACCCCTAATAGTTGTCCTTTTCTGAAAGGCCAGTAAGTCATTATCAATGCAAATTTTTTTGTGCAAAGACTCATCTCATCAGTCCAGTCGTACAACTCTACATTATTATACAGCTTTAATAATGGAGGCACCCCCTAACAAAATTATTATAGGGCTAAAATCATAATAACACCTTATTGTTTCAAATTCGTTATATAATCTTCTCAGTTATTAAAATATTTTTTAAAACTAATAAAAATTATTACTTGCTCCTTTTTTGTGACCAAATTATTAAGTTATTATAAAATGGTAATAATATCCTTAATAGTATATTAATATTTTATTAAACTAAAATTGTTAATTTTAAAGTGTGAAAAGGGTAAGTTTGTCATTACGAATTATAAGGTTATTTTGATTAGCAAAATGACGCAATTGTTGCCCGTAATTGTCATATGATACGATCTCATTATTTTTAGAAGGGAAACTAACGAGAAGAAATTAAGTAATATAATAGAATTTTTAAAACATCAAATGGTAATATTACAGGCAGATATATACAAATTTTCTTAGTTGAGGAAATTATATGACGAATTTAAAGATAATAGGGGTGTTTTGTGATTTTAGCCCATTAAAATATAAGAATTCCATAATTTGATCTTACCGACTTTGAACTTCGCAAACATAGTCAATCGTAGACATTAATTTAGATTGCATGATAACTCCTTTTTAAATAAAAATTTGAATGTTCACTCCAAGCGTGTGAGCATTTGCTTGAAA